CCCCCGGCGGGGGGGAAGGGCGGAGGGCGTTGGGGCGGCGCAGCCGGGAGAAGAGACGGCTGCGGGGAGACCTCACTGCGGCCGCTCAGTGCTGAAACGGGGCTGAGAGGAGAGAGGGAGACTCTTGAGCAGGGCCTGCAGTGACAGGACACGGGGGCTGAGCGAGGCCGGGCTCAGGCTGGCCATAAGGAAGCAATGTTGGACCGGGAGGGCGGTGAGGCGCTGGCCCAGGTTGCCCAGAGAAGCTGTGGCTGCCCCATCCCTGCAAGTGTTCAAGGCCGGGCTGGACGGGGCTTTGAGCAACCTGATGGAGTGGGAGATGTCCCTGCCCGTGGCAAGGGGTTGGACTGGATCATCTTTGAAGGTCCCTTCCAACCCAAACCACTCTGGGATCCTATGAAAGCCCCCTCCCAGGGCGAGCAGGATGGGAAGCACCAGCGAGCCTCTGCAGCCCTGCACAGGAAAACGCACCCCCCTCACAACTTCCCCCAGGCCTATCCAGCTTTTCTTGCCTTCATTCTGGCAGGATCTTAATTTGCAGGAATTTTGAGGCCCTTTCTGAAGCCTGTGAGGAAAGCATTCCCTGTCATTTATTTTAAACGCAGGCTTCTACTGTGACCACGCAGGCCAGAGAGTACTGGCAGCAGGTCAGCCTGCCGCGCGCAAAGATGCCTGTCTCCTTGTCACCTCTTGCCCGTCCCTTCCACATCCAAAACGGTCCTGGCTCGTTGCACGCAGGATGCCACATCGCTGCTTGGTCCCATCCCTCCTGCCCACTGGACCCTGCCATTTGTTAGAGCCAGAAATCTCGGAGGAAGGCAACCCGCTGCCCAGGGAGAGGGTTTCTGCCAAAGCCACACGCAGTCTTGTTGGAGGCACTTCTATTCTCAAGGCAGCTCGCCCCCCAGGCGCAGCAGAGTGTTGATGCACAGGCAGGGCGATGGTTATTTAGGGCAGGCACTGAATGCGGCACTGCCCTGCTGCGCACGGAGAGAGCGGCACAAATGCCCGGCCGGGAGCCCTGTGAAGAGGAAATTACAAGGATGGAGCCTGCTGGTCGGGAGGGCACACGTCACTCCGGGCTGGAGAAGGGCACCATCTGTCCAACCCACGTCACTGGAAATACCCTCCGTGCCACGCCGCTTCCAACACATGGCGTCAGGCTGATCGCCCGGCCCCACAGCCCCCGACCTGACACCCCCGCACGAGGGAGGCAGCAGCGGCGTTAGCTGCGGGGCTAACCGGGACTCGAGGGGAGGAGATACCACCGGGCGGGCACAGCGCCCTGGGATGCAGGGCACTGAAGGAGCGCCTGCTCCCAGCATCTCCCTCCATCCCAGGGCGCGGTCCAGGCACGCTGCCAGCCCTCACGGGCACTCTCACCCCAGGCTTCAAGTGTCTTGCCGTACACTGCTGCCAAAGCAGAAACAAAACCAAAATACCTTTCCTGAGGAAACCTAAAGTGTCCACCCAGCCGACAGCGTTTGGGCTTCACGCACCCCAGCTGTGAGCATCCCAGGTTTTCAAAGCCACATGGAAAGCTCCAGGCGAGGTCAAAGCCACCCGCTGGTGCTGCTCAACACAAGCAGCAAACAATTCACAGCCTTCAAAAGCCCGGGCTTGCTCGCCAGCGAGAGGTGAGGAGCATGCGCTCCCAACGGCATCCTCCCGGTGCTTCTCAGCTGCCGAAATGGCCGCCCATCCATCTCCGCATCTGCCGGGCGTGCCTGACGTGTCGCAACCTCATGCAGCAAAGGCTGCCCCAAGGCTCCTTACGGGGAGAGAGGAAACAGAGCCACAGCAAAGCACTCAAGTCTCAGTGCCTTAGGTGAGACTAGCTCTAAACACAGCTTACAGCAGGCGACGAGCCCAAGTTAATGAACACAAACAGCCAGCAAGCAGCTCCGCTGCCCTGCAGCCTTGGTGGGTCGCTGGCGTTGCCCACTTTATGCGTACAGGTACCGCATGGCAGTGCTGGTCGCTGCCTGCGTCACCGGCACCGGGAGCGGGTGCTCTGCCACCGGCACATCCAGAGCAGAGGAGCAGGAGGGGTTTGATCAGCCTCCTTCAACAACCGCTCCTGCCTCAGGCACTTTCAGGCCGCACCGGGCACCTGGGGTCTCTGGGCTTTCACCCCCCCGCACAGGGTAGGTGAAGATAACCCTGCTTTCACAGGGTTTTTTCTTTCTCCAGCCTGCTGGAGGCCAAGCGGCAGGCAGCGCGGCGGGCAGCGCGGCGGGCAGCACACTGGCAGAGGGGATGGCTCTGGGAGCCGCTGCCTCCCTGGTGCCTCCGGTGCTGCTGAGCGCAGGGAGCGGGATGGGGAGGGCAGGAGCCAGAGCTCCTCCAGCGTCTTTCGGAGCCTCACAGGGTTAAACGTGCCCCTCCATAAGGGCTGAAATCCCAAGAGGAGGCAGAGCCAAGCTGTGATACTGCGGAGCAGTGGATGGGAAGACAGTCCAGAGCCCTGGAGCATCCCAGCTCTGTGGGTTTTGCAACAAGCACACCGCTAATAAATTCATAATCAAGCAGATTACATCCCTCTGCTTCAAACCAGCCCTGTTCCCTCCGCAGGCGCTTTCT